AAGAAGAAGAAGAAGAAGAAGAAGAAGAAGAAGAAGAAGAAGAAGAAAGTAGTAGTAGTAATTGAAGTTTAAATCTGTGGCAGAATGTTTCAGTGCGCAGGGCCCTCAAGAAGATCCATAAGCCAAGAGCTAAGAAGATAAAACCACCATTTCAGCCGTCTGCCTGAAGGTTCTGCATTTTCTTTCCAGAATGGGGTAAAAAACTTCAGAAAAAGTCCCAGACAAGTATTGGTAGACCTTGACCTACAACCATTTTTTAGCGTCTGTTCAAAGTTACAACAGCACTGGAAAAAAGTGAATTTTTTTCCCTACACTTATGACCATTTGAAGCCTCCCCACAGTCACGCGATCCAAATTCGGCCACTTGGCAACCGCCTCGTACTTATGGCAGTGGGATGTATGATCCACTTTGGTGACCTTCTGACCAGCAAATTCAAGGGTGGCGGGAGCAAGATTTACTTAACAATGGTGTGGCTAACTGAAGAGCTGCAGCAATTCACTTAACGACATGTCAAGAAAGGTCATAAAATGGGACAGAAACTCACTGAATCACTGGCTTGCTTATCAATGGAATGTTTGGGCTCAGGTGTGGTCATAAATCGAGGACTACCTATCGTGCTAACCTCAGGGAGACCAGCTTTCCATCATGCCCAGGAGATGTGTCTGTGGGAGAGTGGGGGGAGGAGATAGTCCTCGACTTACAACAATCCATTGAGTGACTTAGTTAATTTAGTTAAAACTTAGTTTTAAAAAAATTGAGTTAATGAAGATATTGAAGAATACCGGGCCTAAGACAGAACCTTGTGGCACCCCTCTGCTTACTCCCCTCCATAGAGACTTAGATCCATTAAGGACTACTCGTTGAGTATGGCTTGTCAGCCAGTTGTGTGTCCATCTAGTGGTGGTGCTGTCTATTCCCCCTTTTTAAAAAATCACCATGGCAGGGGTCAAGCTTATAAAAATGAGGGCAAAAAGGCACTTAATAAGCATTTGCACCAAGATAAATTCCTTGGGTGTCCAATCACACTTGCCCAATAAAGAATTCAATTCCATTCTATTCTCATTCAATTCCCATTCAATTCCCTATTCTATTCCATTCCAGTCTCTATTCTATTCTATTCCATTCCATTCCATTCCATTCCATTCCATTCCATTCCATTCCCTATTCTATTCCATTCCAGTCTTCTATTCTATTCTATTCTATTCTATTCTATTCTATTCTATTCTATTCTATTCTATTCTATTCCATTCTATTCCATTCCATTCCATTCCATTCCATTCCATTCCACTCCATCTTCACTTAGCAACAGAAACGTTAGACTCAGTTGTGGTCGTAAGTCGAGGACTGCCGGTATTTTACAGCCTGCCTGAGGTCTAGTTTTACGAACTCCGGTCACTTTCAGGCGGTTTGTCCCGGTCTTCTTCCTTTTCCGCCGGGGGTGAGGTGGGTGCGGGGGCAGCCTCGGTTGCTAAATTCTCAAACTCACCCCCTCCCACTTCCAACCCTGCGGAGCTTTCAGGAAGCCAAGTCTCAGCCGTCCTGCTTCGTCCCCGGCTTCCCCCAGTGCCTTCCAGTTGTTGGCGATTCCCGTTCCAAACGTCCAAGCTTGAGGCTCGGATTCAAGGAGCGGGGAACGGGGTTCGCTCCCGCCGCGGGCCAAAGAACGCGGGCTGCGCCTGTTGCGGCTGCTCTGCAGGGACCGCCTCGCTTGCCAGCAACCCTCGGCTGCCAAGATTTTGCTGCAAACCCTCCGCTCTGCGGCGGCTTTTGGGCCCTCTCCCTGCGCGGCGGAGAGCGAGGAGGAGCGCACGGGAGAGCCGCGCTCTCCAAACCGGTGGCTTGGCCTAGGAGCCACGCCACCGAGGGGTGGCTGGGGAAAAACCAAGTCCAGGGGAAGGAAGCGATCCAGGAGATCGCCGGCGGGGGGGTGGAGGGGGAGGGCAGGTTGAAGGTGGAGGCCCAGAGGAACCCAATGGAGGCGGCCCATCAGCCGCAGAGAGCGCAAAAGACCCGCCAGGCGGGCCGGCCCGCCACCACCCACCTCGCCAGCCGCAGGCATGGCTGCATTGCGCCGGGTCCGTCTCCGGAGCGGTGCGCAACGTGACCTCGGGTCTTTTGTCGGGGAAGGGCGGCGGAGGGCCGGCGGGCGCTTTCCCGGCCGTTGTGGCGGGGGCGCGCCCGGCCGGGCCGAGGAAGCGCAGCGCAGCAGAGCGCAGGACGGGCGCCCCCTCCTCTCTCCTCTCCTCTCTCCCCGCCCTCTCCTCCTCTCCTCCCCGCGCAACGCCTGAGCTGCAGCTGCGCCGAGGCGCTGGCAATTTCTGCTGAGGCTGCAGCGCGGTCGGGGATGGCCGGCCCGGCTCGGCTCTGCTCCGCGTCTGCCGCAAGCGCCCGCCGGCTCCCCCTCTTCGGCGGCCCCCCCGAGCCGAGGCAGCTCCGGCCGCGGCCAAGCCAAGAAGAGAAGGAAGAGAAGGAGGAGGACCGCGCCGCTCCGGCCATCCTTAAGGGAGACCCGCAGTCCGCTTGCCCGCCTCGCCCTCGCCTCGCCTGCCTTGCCGGAGCTGAGCGGCGGAGGCGGGGGACGCCTAAGGGTCCTCCCTCCCCCAGCCTCAACTTCCCCGCCGGGCTCCGCTCCCGACAACCTCCCCGTAGGAGCCCGACGCGAGTCCAGCGGGCGCCGGCGCTTGCTGGGAGTCGGAGAGCGGGCGCGCGGGGGTGGCCGCGGCGCAGTCCGACCGGCGGCGGGGTTGCGGGGCTGAGAGTGCTGCGGGCGACGCGCCTTGACGCATCCTGAAGCGGGCTCGGAGCGCGGGCGCTGCAGCAGGACCGCTCCACCTCCCTCCCTCCCCCCTCCACCGCACTCCACCTCCCGCAGCAAGGTAAGGAGAGCCAGAGAGCAACTTTGCGCTGCTTTGCGGGAAAGCTGGGAGGCCGCGCGTGAGGAGGAGGAGGAGGAAGGGAGGGAAGGAGGATGGGGTAGGGGGCGACTGAGCCCGAATTCATATTTTTCCCCTCCTCGCCCCCACCCCCGTGCCCCGCGGCCCGCCGCCCTAAGTGTCCCCCCCCCCCCCCCCCCCCCCCGCCCCCCCCGCCGGCCGCCCCCCCCCCCCCGGCGGGGCCGGCCCCGCCGGGGGGCCGCCCGGGGGGGGTTCGGGTGGGGGGGGGGGGGGGATCCGTGAACTTAACGGGCGTGGAGCTCAGGTGGGCAAGCCTGACAGACCTGCGGGCTGGTGTTCCATTGGAAGCATGCCGCGATTCTGCTTTGGCCTTTTGTGGCATGGCGTGCTGGGGAGGGAGAGAGGGAGGGAGGGAGGGGGGAACCTTTTCTTTTTAAAATGAATACCTTCTTATCCTTTGCAGTCTATGCCCGTAAGCCGTCCCGCCCTCCCACCACCACCACCGCCACCTCAGGGGAGCCCTTGCTTGGTAAGCAAGGGCCAACCAACCCAGAGCCAGGGAGAAGTCGCCGGAATTTGCTGAGTCGGCATCTGGGCTACCTCACCTCAGCCGCCGCCGCCGCCGCAGCGGTTGTTTGTTTGTTTATTTATTTATCGGTGCGAGGAGGCAAAGTGTGGCAGGAGCCGCAGTGCAACAGCAGCCGCCGCCGCCGCGTGGCCCATCCTGCAAAGAAAAGTCCAAGTGGCCAAAGACTGGCGGAGCTCCATCTCATAGCCTCCCCCCCTCTCTCTCTCTCTCTCTCTCTCTCTCTCTCTCCCCATACCCCCCCTCCCTTTCCACCTACACGTGCTCCGAGGCCCGGACTCTCCTCCTGCCTTCGCGGAGCCAGTTCGACTTACTCCTCTGCCTGGTTCCCCCCTCCCCCCCGCCCAATGACTAGCCCCCTTCCCCATTTCCTTTCCTTTCTCCAGCCCGGACTCCCTCAGGCTCAGCCCCTTCCCCGTTTTCTCTTCTTGACTTGTCCTTCTCCTCATCCTTGCCGCCTCCTTGTCCACTTCAGCACCTTCCGCACCGATGCGCTCTCCCTTAGGAGCTGTCCACTTCAGCACCTCCGCGCCGATGCGCTAACTCTCTCTCCTCAGGAGCTGTCCACTTCAGCACCTTCCGCAGCGATGTTCTAACTCTGCCCTGATCCTTTGCTATCCCCGAGGTCCTCCTCCCTCCATCGCTCTCTGGCCGGCTCTGGGAGGGGACTCCTCCTGCCTTGGGCCCCAACTCTCCGTCTCCCACCATGACTGTCATGGTGACTGGGGACAACCTGGACGAAACCTTGGCTTTGCCAGGCCACCCACAGGACAGCTACCGGCCAGGGTCTCATGAGGACCACGAGTGCTGTGAGAGGGTGGTGATTAACATTGCTGGCCTGAGGTTTGAGACGCAGCTGAAAACCCTGGCTCAGTTCCCCAACACTTTGCTGGGGAACCCCAAGAAACGCATGCGGTACTTTGACCCACTGAGGAACGAGTATTTCTTCGACCGGAACCGCCCCAGCTTCGATGCCATTCTCTATTATTACCAGTCTGGGGGGCGGCTTCGCCGGCCAGTGAATGTCCCTTTGGACATGTTCTCCGAGGAGATCAAGTTCTATGAACTGGGGGAGGAGGCCATGGAGAAATTTCGAGAGGACGAAGGCTTTATTAAGGAGGAAGAGAGGCCCTTACCTGAGAAGGAATACCAAAGACAGGTTTGGTTGCTCTTCGAATACCCGGAGAGCTCTGGTCCGGCTCGGGTGATTGCCATTGTCTCCGTCATGGTGATCTTAATTTCCATTGTAATCTTTTGCCTGGAAACCTTGCCAGTCTTAAAGGAACAGGAGAGGGACCATGGATTCCGCAACCGCATGGACAACTCCACCATCTTCCGCAAACCCAGCATCTTCACCGACCCCTTCTTCGTGGTGGAAACTCTCTGCATCATCTGGTTTTCTTTTGAGTTGGTGGTGCGCTTCATCGCCTGCCCGAGCAAGACTGAGTTCTTCAAGAACATCATGAATTTCATAGACATAGTGGCCATCATCCCTTACTTCATCACTCTGGGCACAGAGATGGCTGAGCAGAAGGGGCCTCCCAAAGGAGAACAGGCCACCTCTCTGGCCATTCTGAGGGTCATCCGACTGGTAAGAGTCTTTCGCATCTTCAAACTCTCCCGGCATTCTAAGGGACTCCAGATTCTGGGACAGACCCTCAAGGCCAGCATGAGGGAGTTAGGTTTGCTTATCTTTTTCCTTTTCATTGGGGTGATCTTGTTCTCCAGCGCAGTGTACTTTGCTGAAGCTGAGGAATCTGAGACTCAATTCGACAGCATCCCCGATGCTTTCTGGTGGGCAGTGGTATCTATGACCACTGTAGGATATGGTGACATGTACCCTGTGACAATTGGAGGCAAAATCGTGGGCTCCTTGTGTGCCATTGCTGGTGTGCTAACAATTGCCCTGCCTGTACCTGTCATTGTGTCCAACTTCAACTACTTCTACCACCGAGAAACAGAAGGGGAGGAACAGGCTCAGTTACTTAAAGTTAGCTCTCCTAACTTAGCCTCTGACTCTGACCTGAGTCGCCGTAGCTCCTCCACCATCAGCAAATCTGAGTATATGGAAATTGAAGAGGATGTGAACAATAGCATAGACAATTTTAGGGAGGCTACTCTCAGAACTGGCAACTACACCTTAGCCAACCAGAACTGTGTCAATAAAACCAAGCTACTTACGGATGTTTAGGCCATGTAGGGAAAGGAATAAGAAAAACACACACACAAAACAAAACCACGTTGGTAGGTTGGAGAAGTTAAGGGGGTGAGCAGCCCCTCTTTGTAGATTCTTGACGAATATGTCGTTGAATGCTTTACCTCGAAATAATGTGGTTGCATTGCAAATTTTGCTCAGCGCCTCAAAAAGCTTTCAGGATCCATGAACGAGATTCACAATTTTGGGGGTATTATATTTTTGGGGTGGGTGGGTGGGAGAAAGAGTTTTGTTTCCAAAAGTTATTTTCTGGTGGGTATGAATAGTTAACGATCATTCATGAGACTAGTCTAGTTATAAATAAGTATCATATGCTTCTAGCCCTAGAATTCTTTGCTTTACTTCTTCTTCTTCTTCTTCTTTTGGTTTTGTTCATTCACTTAATTTTTAAACAATCCAACTTGAGAAGGACTTTTACAAATATGCATGGAATACAGGAAAAGTTTCTATTTAAAAAAAACAAAACAAAACAACAAAAACCCTGCACAATGCATCTAAGAACATGCATCCAAACTATATTCAGCAGTAATAAAAAGTGCAGTTAGATATTTCCCACTGCTTAGGAGGGCCGATTTAAATCCAGTCCCTTGGCAAAAAAGGGTTGGCAGGTCTGGTCTACAGATCTACCCACAGCACTTTATGAAAATATGCCGGGTCATTCTGCGTTTGCGGTACGTCCTTCTGAGGTATCCTCATCCCAGGGGTGAGAAGATAAAATACCTGCAGTGCTGCTAAGGGGTCTTTAAGGGGCAGAAGGTCCTGAGATACCTCCGAAATTGGATGCAAATATTTTTAGCTCCTCACTTGCAAGACAGCACAATAGAATTTAATAGAAGCATGTGGACTTTGATACTTCTTTCTTTTATAACTGCATGCCTGGCCCATTATCTCAGAAAATAGGGAATAAGCCTTTGTTTCGACCCACCTCCTTTTAAAAATAGGTTTGGTTTTTTTTTGGTTCTTTCTTTTTGTTTCGATTTGCATTCACCAAAAGTGCACTCCTTTTTATTTCACAAAGTATCTAATTAGTAACGGAAAAAGTACTGTATTTAAGTGCATATGTTAGTCAAATGGGTACAAACAACTTTTTTCTTTTTCTTATTTTGGGGGAGATCAAAAGCATGTTCCAATATTCAGCATTATGGCCTCTTTGATGAAAAGGCATAGCTCCAATTAATTAATGCATGAGTTTGGTAAAAAACAAAACAAAAAAAAACACACAAAACAAAATAATGATAATGACAATTCTTTCTATTTGTTTGTTTAATTGCTTATCGGGACCGAAGGGCCAGGAAGCACTCATTACATAGTTTCAATTATTTTCCTGTGTTTACTCAGGGAAATTAGTTGGCTTCTGCCTTGGTCTTTGTTGGAAAGGAACTGACTTCAACCCTTAAAGGGAGAAAACTCTTATGGAAATGGAAAGGTCAGTTTATATATAGCAATGCCTAAAAGAGTCTGTAAATCAGGAAACACAAAACAAAATGAAAAAAAAAAAAGGTGCAGAAGCATGCCTTTTGGTGCATTCTTAGAATGTAAAATAAAAACGTATTTATTATATGCATTCAACTTGCAGCCCAGTTCTTTCCACAGCTGTTTGTTTGAATGGGGAGAAACTTTGGGGCTCCCCGAAGACACGATCCATTGATTTGAGATTGTTGCTTTAGTGCCTTTATCCTCCTCACACCCACTGAACTGCTGGAAGTACCTTGCAGGTGAACTCTGACCTCAGGAGACAAAGCTGGGCCAGTTCAAAGCTGGCCATTGCGCCTTGCCCAGCATGGGCACCATAGAGAGGGAGAGAGGGAGAGAGAGAGGGAGAGAGTTTAGGGGAGGGGCACAGAGGAAGTGGAAGAGCAGGACTACCAACCATCAGGCAACTTCACCCCCCACCCCCTTTCTGGATTCTTCCTTCAGAGGCAGGATGACTTTGCAACTTGCCTTTGTCTTTGCCAAGTAAGTTGTAATCATTTTTTTTTTCTATACAACTCAGCTTTTCTCCAGCCCAGTTCTAGAGATTTTGCCATTTTCCTCATCTCGTCTTTCTTTCTTTCTTTCTTTCTTTCTTTCTTTCTTTCTTTCTTTCT